GCTTAGCTGCATTGCGTTCCGTTTTTGATGCGTTTGTGCGTTTCCTGCCCGGACAAAATGTGACATGCAGTATTCTTTCAGTCAGGAACGGACTGCTCACGTGAGAACTGTAGCCCATAAAACACATAGGGATACATATTTAGTGCAGGAGCGTACGGATCAGGTCAGCACAGAATACGGACATCGTGTGAACAGGCCCTGAAGGAGGGAGGTGAGCTGAAGGGCTGTGAGGGAAGAGGGGTGGCTTTGAGTAGAGGGGAGCTCTGGGGCCCAGTTGCTCCCCACACCCTGTGTGTGGTCACATTTCTCACAGACCTTCTCAGCACGGTGCCTGTGCAGGAAAGGCAGCAGATTTTCCTTCTTACTCTCTTTTGGTCGTGGGACGTCCCTTGACAGGAGAGAGAAAAGGAAGGGTAGTCTGTCCTCACTCGCCGGCAGGTGCCTGTACTGATAAGGTCTGTTCTCAACAGGCACACTCTCTGCTTGCTCTCTTCTGCCCACAGTGGGCTGCTATTGGAGGTAGGAGAGAGCAGAATCCTTCCTCAAGCAGATGTTGCAGTCCTTACTCTACACTCCAGGCGTTTCAATGAGCCCCCCACCCCCCCAGGGAGCTGGAGAATGGTGCCCCCCTCCAGGTAAAAGTACTACACCCGGAGTTGGTGCCCCTCCTGCCTCCCCCTTGTCTGGGCTCTGCCCGCAATGTATATTTGCAGAGCCAAGAACCAGAACTAGGAATAGAAATTTATTAGAGACACCGAAATAGAAATTTAAAAACCCAACCAAAATTAAAAAAAAAATTGTCAGGCCGAAACCAAAATTTTTTTTATTTTTTTATAAACTTTATTTTTTTTTACTCTAAGGGGCTTTGGGGGAAATATTAGGGGTCTAAACAGACCCCTGATATTTCCCTTTTAAAACAGAAAAAGAGAATGAGGACACAATCTCAAAAAAAGAGTCCTCAATCTCTTGTTCTGTATCCCGTTATCAATGAACAGAAATCCTCTGAGTGTTCATGTTCATTGATAACGTGAGAAAATTGTGTGTTTACTATAACCACAATCATGAATGAACAGGAGGTGATGTAGATCACTCCCATTCATTCATAATTGAGGATATAGTACACATACCATGTCCTCAATTATCTACAAACATTCAGCGATCACTGATCGCTGAGTGTTTGCACTCACTCACCTCTCTGACACGCTGTCACAGGAGGCTGAGCGAGCAGTGCAGGGAGGAGAGCTCAGCATCCTGTGACAGCACGGGCTGTCTCCGCCCCTACACCGCTCTGCCAAAATTGTGATAGGCGGCTGAGCGATGTGGCAGGAGAGACGCCGGCCGCCCGCCCAGAGTGCTCGGCCGGCTGTCACTTTCTCCCACACAGAGCAGCGCCCAGCAGAGAGGAAAGAAAGCAGGGATATGCCGATGTATCGGCAGGAAAATGGCACTTTCGGCATTAGAGCGTTCTTTTGGTGGTATATAATCATCACTGGGGTTTTTATTTTTTACTATACAACAAAAAACATGTCAAGCTTTAAAATTGTGCGCTTCTGCGAAATGGCAGAAAACGACCGCAACCAAAATTGGCCATAGGCAACGCTTTAAAAGTTTTTACCGCTCATCAGTTTAGCGTTAGTGATTAATGGCCCTAAAATTATTGCTCACACTCCGACGTTCGCGATATGTAACATGGGCGGCATAATGGGTGCAATCGTCGTTTATGTACATTGTTAACATTGTGTTAATTTTTTATTATTTGTTAATATTTTTTTAGCCTCTATTTTTTTAATGCTTTAAAAAAAAATGTTTAGACAACTTTATTGCCATCACATAGGGGACTAAGAGATCCCCTCTGTGATAGCCAGTTCACCAAACAGGTCCTCTTTATGGAGACATCCATGGTCTCCCAAGACCTCTGATGTCACCCCAAGGACCCCAGAGAAGCTGATGAAGCAGAGATCTTCATCAGCTTCTCATCACATCCTGCATTCAGAGACAGGAAAAAGAGACTGATCTACCTTTGATCCGCTGTTAAATCGTCGCCAGTTCCAGCCGCATCGGATCACGGGACCGGCAGCACAAAAAGGTACAGGGGGGGGGGGAGGCGGACAGACGAACGACACACACACGACCCTCCCGCTCCTAGTAGGCTCCCGTCTGGCCGTTCACAAACTCAGATTTCTAGGGATTACAATATTTCTCACTAGATTCACCACTGTGTAATAGTCTACTACAAGAAGTGTTTTTAAAAGACCATTTTAATGTTTGTTAGAGCATGGTGATCTAATACTCCATGCAGTAATAGTCGGGAAATAATGCCATTAAAAAAGGGATAAGTTGATGAATTCAGTGAACTATCTTTATCTTGGAGTCCATTGAGGGACACAGGAGAAATACTCAGACACCTGGGTATATGCTGCTGCCTTTGTTATATGCTGCTGCCACCTCCCAATCAGATTGGGGGGGTCGGCAACAAACTCCCAGATGTAAAGAGAAGCTGTTTTACAAGACTATGTTGTAGAATACAAGGAGGGACATACAGTTGTGTAAAAAGAAAAGCACACCTTCTTTGAATTCTATAGCTTTAAGTATCAGGACATTAAAACATCTGGTCCCTAGCAGGTCTTAAAATTGGGTAAATACAACCTCAGATGAACAACACATGAGATAGTGTCATTATTTATTTTGCAAACAAAGCCAAAATGGAGAAGCCATGTCACCTTATGATTTAATAGCTTGTAGAACTTCCTTTAGTAGCAATAACTTGAAGTAATCGCTTTCTGTATGACTATCAGTCTCTCACATCATTGTGGAGGCATTTTTGCCAGCTCTCCTTTACAACATTGCTTCAGTTCATTGAGGTTTGTGGGCATTTGCTTATGAACAGCTCTCTTAAGGTCCCACCACAGCATTTAAATGCGGTTGATGTCCGGACTTTGACTGGGCTATTGCAACACCTTGATTCTTTCCTTTTTCAGCCATTCAGTTTTAGATTTACTGGAGTGCTTGGGATCATTGCCCTGTTGCATGACCCAATTTCAGCCACGCTTTACCGCAATGCAGATTTTAATATATTTGGAGGGGTTTTTTCTCTTTGGCACAGCTGCTGAGGGATTGGTGTAGGAAGAATATGAGCACAGATCTTTATATTATTGAAGCTGTCTCACTACTTAGAAAAAGACAGCACTCTGTGGCTAGCTGACACAGAACATACAAGTCTGGAAAGTAACAAGAGCAGAACATAGTGCTCAAATGTAACATACCATGACATAGATGCCACTAACAGAGCATACTAGCAAGGTACTTATGAATGGAGGCATCAGAGACTGGGATACACTGAGAACTTACTCCTGTTCTAAAAATGAAGAGTGCTCTGTTGCTAACTGACAATACACATGGATAAAAAAAATGCATCACATGCAGAATAATACTCAGCATAAAATACTTCACTTTACATATAGTTGCACATGGAGAGATCAGAGACTGGAGTATACTGCACAAGTACACCTGTTCTGAAATTGAAGAGCTCTCTGCAGCAAACACTGTGTACAGGGGTAAGGAAAGTGCCACATGGAAAGCATAATACTCGATGTAGCATACCAGCATGATTTTCCATCCTTACCAAAGTGTACTTGCACATTGAAAAATCAGAGACTGGGGTACACTGGGAATGTACCCTGCTCTTTAACTGGAGAGAGCTCTGCGGCTAACAGTAAAAATGGTGCAGAGCCCAGTTCACAAAAGCAACATTGCAGTTTATCTTCACCCTGCCCATGGGCTTACTCACAGAGTGAGTCTTCAGATACGGGCACATACTAGAGGGCTATGAGAAAGCTCTGGACCTATAAAACACTCTGCACTTCACAAATCAGGATACTAGGTGTGTCTGTGGTGCGCCACAGGCAGAACCCATTGGCTGAGGGCCAAATTACAGGCTTGCCCTGCAATCTTCAGTCTGGCAGGGTTTGGGTGCAGCCTGGGTGCAGAGGTCAAGCTGAGCCATAGACCTGCTGTTGAGACACAAGCTCCAAAAAATCCAAAATGTTAATAGAAAAAAAATAAAAAATAAATCCATAAAGTACAGGAAAACGTTTACCTCAGCTGAGGAAGCAGCATTAAAGCTCCTGGGACACTAGTGAAAAATTGAGGCAGCACAACTGTGGAAAGGGTTATACATGTGCTAGGCATCAAATTTTTTTTTTTTTTTTGCTAGTGACCATATCCTGAAGGCAGCTAAATATGACCAAGTCATTATTGGTTACTACTACTGTGTCCCTTAAAAAAAAAAAAGAATAAAATGTTTGAGACAGGATACTTTTTAAATGCAAGGTTTCTCATCAGTCTTTGCTTCCTCAATATTGTGCAATGCTGAATAGTGTTTAGTCTACAATTATAATATGGATTGTAAAATAGTGTTATAAATCAAACATCTTTGTGAAAGTCCCCCAAAAACAGGTTCTGTAATGTTTCAATTATGCACTTTATTTTTAGTGGAATAAACTATTGTTTTGCTTAAAGAACATTTTCACATTTGATGCAAACATGAAAAATCAGTTACAAAAGTCAGTGGCACAGCAGCAACCTTTTCACTATTAAAGGGCACAAGAACAAATTGCTTTGCAGGATTCTCTGGCCCAATGTGCAGGAAAGTAAAAAAACTAAAAATAAAATTAAATTCTGTAGCTCCTGTAAAGCTCTTAACTGCATTGCAGTTGAGAGAAAAAAAACAACAAAAAAACAAAGACAAAAAATGCTGTGCCACAAATAATAAAAGAAGGCAAGCTGAACACAAGTTAGAACACTTTGCATGACAATATCTTTTTTCTGCAATTTTTCCAGATACTATTGAGCATCAGTTTAAAAAACAAAAAACAAAAAAAAAACTCAACTAATGCAATAAATCTAAGTAAACTAAAACACGGCTTATAAATATTCTAGTCTCTTATAAACTAATACAGATCAGATTCTTCTTTTATTACGTTGTGCAGATGTATGGTTACGCTTTTGTTTTCTTAGAATATAGGTTACAAAGAAAACAAGCAACTGGAATTGCTATGTAAATTGATTTTATCTTGTCCCTGCTGCATTATGAATTGATGGAGGGCTGTCATGGTCAGACAGGAAGGAAGTAGCTGCTGCAGTTTCAGGAAGCACAGATGGTAGGACATGACGGCACACAGGACATGTTCCAGACTAAAAAAAGAAAAGAAAAAAAAAAAAAAGGTATGGTAACCACACATTTTATAATGACATTTTCCAGCAGCAGCAGTGATTAACCTCAAACCTCCCTCGCCCACTGCTTTTTTTTTTTCTTTTTCTCTCCTTACCTTGCTCCTGAATTTGTTTTTTGTTTCTTCTTACCCTTGTGATGTTATCACAAGAGCTGAAAAAGTCATGCAGGCCTTAGGAGCTGGGGGAGGGATCAAGTTAGGCAGTCTGTCATTTCCTACCACTATGTAGACTCATTTTCTAATAAACCGTGTGTGCCTACAAATTGAGCAGGTAACTTCCCTGTCTAAGCCCCTGCCCCATGTGTGGGCAATCAATTTTCCTCTTCTGTGCACTATGCCCTATCCCCACTGAAAGGAATGAGGAGTAGCTGGAGATCACAATTCAGATAATGAAGCCTTTTACTGTAGGCTCCAGCAGCGCCAGAGGAGAACTGCAGAGCAGATGTTAAGGTAAGCTGGCTGGGGAGTCCAGTCCCCTCTACAGGAAGTTAGCTCCCTGTAAGGGCATATAGGCTGCATTAGACTGAAGATTACAGGCTACAGGGGCGACCTGCAAAACAAAGTAGGGGAGGACCAAGTGAGATTGCAGAGTTATTATTAAATATTAAGGGTAGAGTTCAGCTTCAAGCATAATATTTTTGTGGGTAACCAGAAAATCTCATAGGGAATTTCAACGCTCTTTAACAAGCTCTACCTTGCTTTTTGCACAAAGATTGCACAAAGTGAATATCTATCTAGTTTTTAAGCTGGAAACTGGATTAGAGAGGTAGGATATAAACCCGAGTCATGATTCACAAGTATCAAATGTGGATTTAAGATTTCTCCTTTTAATACAAGGAATTTGGCAGGAAGAGAAGTCTCCAGGACCTTACACAGCTTTAAGCATATCTGTCAAAAGAAAAATAATAATATGTAAGCCAACAAAGCTGGCCTCTCCTGAAAATACGGTTTTCTTACCTATCAAGTTGATGTCTTGGCTTCAATGCTTTCTGAGTGACAGACTCAGGACAATTACAGAGATGTAAACAGCAACACTTTTCTGACACTCGTGTGCTGTATGCAGGTCTGTGATTTAACACCATTGAAATCAGAGACAGCCAGACAATTAGATATTTCAGTAGAAGGACAGAAATTGTAGCCTACAGATTTCTATCCTTCCATGCGGATTTTAAACATATCTATGACAATAAAAGTATATCTTGACGAATCCCTACAGCTTGGCTTTCTAATTCTTTCACTCTGTAAAAGCTGAACAGTGTTATCAACCTGGTTGTGTTGTGTAAGGGGACTGTGTAAATCTAAGGAGCTGATGGGCAGAAATACAAATCATTTGACAGCTTCAAGGGTGTTAACAGTTCCCTTATATGTATTTATGTATTATATCCATGTATTTAGTGGTTTGCCTGAAGTTCAGCTTTAGGATGACATGATGCATAACAATGCTATACAAAATAAAGGGGTTGTATATAGAAAAATAAACATTGTACAATCAAAAACTAAAATCCAATTGATTGCAATGGGCAAGAATTCTAGTATAACATTGCTCTGTTTGGTTTTTGTCTTTAAAAGGACAACTGTACCTTAATAACCATGTACTGCACTACAATAGGCAGTTTGTGTGCGGTAAAAAAAAAAAGGTGCAACCATAAAACAAGTACCTTTGCAGAACATTAAAAAAAAAAAAACTTTCTTTTTGCTGCCTGCTCATCCTCCATCCAGAGTACTTGTCCTTTTATCAAACTAATGAAGTAACCCTGGAGATTTTGCTTATCAAAGTACAGTTAGCCTTTAATACTATCACTGCAGCAAAAGCATACTACACAACTTGAAGACAAGGAAAAAGAAGAAGATCGTATTATGTAAAGTGGCAGAGTGCATGAACCATGAAAGCAACAACTTTCAGCATTTAGCTGTAATACACCCCAGGGGCATACATGGACACTAAATGTTTCAGGAAACAACATGGGAGGTGTAAACACTATATCCATTTAAAAGATACGTACTTTTTGTAGCCACAGTGTAACACAAGGCTTATGGAAGAGGTGGTGACAAGGAAGTTCTGTTAAAATGTCATCTTTGATATACTCACTACAGCATATGGCACAGCATTGCTCTTGACCTACAACTACAAAAAAAAAAAAAAAATGTATATTTGAAAAAAGTGATGTGGACAACTTAAAATGCATTCCATACTTTGTAACCTTACTAGAACAAAAAAATTTACAAGTTTACAACATTTACAAGGATGAAGCCTTTTGGATGCCAAAAATAAAATAAAAAAATGTATATGTATGCGAGATATATATATATATACACACACACACACACACACACCACACTTTACATTCCAGAAGGAACATAATAAGAAACTGTCTATGGTAGTAGAATATTTTCTTATTCATGTCCAGGATAAAAAAAACAAAAAACATTTTTTTTATACATAAATATGAAATAAAAATAACATTTTGTGTAAAGAAATATGAAATAGTGCATGGCTGCAAGTTCTTTGCAGCCTGTCAAGGTAATGCAATCTAATCCCCAGCTCTGCTAAAACTACATGCACAGGTGGAAGGGTAGAGACTAGGGAAGGGAAGAGAAGGGACAGTGTGCACAGCTTTAAACTCAATGTCTTACTTATGTGGCCATCTGTAAGAATGATCTGAGGGAGACACTCAATGCTTTCTTTGGTAGCTGGAGGGTGAGCCTGTTCCACATCTACAGCCAATGATTCCAAATGGGCCAAAGCAGTCTGTTTAAATATAAAAAAAATCAGAACGAAACCACTTGTTAAAGTCATTAAGTGTCACATCTACATCCAGTTATTAATTACTTTATAATGGTATTCATTTATATATTGTAGGGATACACTGAAAGTCTGCTTCCCAGCCAATCAGCATAGAGCCGGCTTCCCGGCCAATCAGGAAGCCAGGAGGCGGGTCATTACTTGCCGCCCAGCTTCCTGACTGGCCAGGAAGCCGTCTCGATACAGATTTGTGAATGGCGAAGGAACCGGCGTCCGAGCCATTGAGTCGTCAAAACATGGAGCTGGCTTCCCGGGCAATCAGGAAGGCGGGTGGCATGTCATTACCCACTGCCCGGCTTTCAGGAAGCCATGTACAGTACCCTGCTGGCCCCTCTCACCAGTCACTATCTGCTTGCATGGCACAGAGAAGCACAGAGACCCAGTGATGACATCACTGGGTCTAAAATAACAGTAGCTGTTGAAGAGGGGGGGGGGGGAGGAAAGGGGCAGGAAATGCAAAATATAAGCAGATTGAACTTTAGGTTTACGGTACAAAGCCCTAGGACAATTCTGGATGTCATGATACTGACTTATTTGGTGCCAAGTGCAAAAGGCATATTATCTTCAATAAATAAGCCAAGGCCATGCATTAGCCGCCAGCAGCAATCAGGTTTCTGCAGTTCAGCATACCAAACCAATGAAAAGCCATCTTTTAATTAGAGCTGCCGCTAACGATTATTTTCAAAATCGGTTAGCCGTTTATTAAAGTTCGATTAATCAGTTAATCGGATAAACAATAAAATACATTTTTAAAAATGGCTCCAGTGAGGGGCCTACTAGTTTGTATTGAGAGTGCAGTCCATCACAGGAGCAAGCTTGGAGCGGTGGAGGTAAAAAAAAAAAAAAAAGAAGAAGAAGAAGGGGGGTCGGCAATATGGG